TATTTACAAAGACGACATAACTTTTTAGCAATAATTTTACAGGAAATAAAAAAAAACTTTCTCCAATCCATATTTGTCGTTTCATAAGTTTAAACCGTTAATCATATATTTCTTGATAATGTATTGGACGAGCCGCAAAAAAATGCACGCAGTTGTGTAAGTACAATTTACCTTAAATTAACAAATAAAAATAATTATTACATCCTCGTCGAGAATCTCATTAATTTGATGTAATTTGCAGTAGATAAAAATTAAATGAATTTTCACATTAATATTAGTACCCACTTATTTGACATTAGAATGCGCTTTGTTCTTTATCACTTACTTTTGCGTGTTTTTATTATATAGTAGTTAGATGCATGTTTTCTAAGTCGTACCTATAAAAAGTTAAAGTAACCGTTTAATTTAAATTAAAAACATTTCTGAACTGTAAAGATAGTAAATTGACTTTTCATTTTATTTTAGTACTGTTGGAGTCTTGGAAAATATCGCTGGAGTCTGACAAAGGAAATTGAGTTAGTCCTGATAATGATCGTATTCAATTCGTGCTTCTACAATTTGAATGATAATTAGATAATAAATGAGAACGAAAGGTTATTTAATTTTGCTTGTCACCTATTTTTACAAACTTAACAGAAACCTAATTAAGTTACCTATACGTAGAGAGAAATGGCCATTCGCTGGTAAGTTCATTATGGGAGGTGTACTTTAGGACGCTACGCTACTGTCTGTGAAAATAGAGGTGCAAATCTGTAAATACAAAAACTGAAAATCAACATTTTACGATTGGACTAGTAACTTATAATATCTAACGTAATTCATTCATATTAAGTTTACTAATTTCTAAAACACTCTTCAACAATTCGCTTGTAATATTAGATTGTGGAGTGTTTTTTGTTGAGGTTCGATTAGAATAATATATCCTTTCTCAACGGGTGTACTGCTGTACCACATATATAAATATCTGCTCGAAGGACCACCGTATAAATAAGACACGGAACTGTAAAATGTATATGTACATTTTTTTACACTTTTACATAAGTACAAACTGATTATGAGAATTGTTCTCAGCTGAGTCTACTTTAGACTCTGAAAACTCAAAGTGGAGTTTTCTGTTGAAATGTATTTATTTAACGAATCGAATCTTCGACTTCGACTCCCTGTTTTTTGATAAATTTTAATATTTATGTTACCCTTCTGATGGAAGGGGCAACAACCAGAATTGTGTGTACTAACACACACACAAACAAATTATGCCTGGTCCTAAGAAATTCAATAGAACTACAAACTAGGTATTTATAATATTGAATAGTGATTGAAAATTCCAAATGACTAATAGGTAGGTATACAGGAATGAGAGGTACAAAAGAGGTAATAAAACTATTTACAATGGGGGTAAGAAATATATACAGATTATGGGGTTTTTCTTAGGACCAACTTACGACTAATAGCCTATAATAATGTAATGCCTACTGCTTGATCAAATAAATGTTATGATTATAAGTTTAAAATATTTACAAATATCGGCAATAGTCTTTTGCGCCGAAACATGCCGGCCGCGTTGAAAGCGTTGCTTTCAAAACCTTTTATCCATTAACACTAAGATTGTCACTAAAAGGTAGGGCACATAATTTAGTGACTGATCGCTTTAATATAGCACCGTTGGATGTTCTAATAGACACTACTCGTACGACGTTATCGTCACCAGGGTGCAATTTGGTCACACGACCTATACGCCACTGACACGGGGGGGTATTGTCCTCACGCACTAACACCACGGTTCCAATCTTCAGGACGTTGATAATGTTTTTCTTCCATTTGGTCCGAACCTGCATTTCGCTTACATACTCCTTGCTCCAGCGTTTCCAAAAGTGTTGGAGTATCCGTTGAATGTGTTGAAATTTACTGAGGCGGTTTTCGGGAACCTCCAACAAATTCTCGTCCGGAAGCGCTGTTAGTTTCCTTCCGATTAAGAAGTGAGAAGGAGTAAGGGGTTCGAGATCATTGGGATCACACGATAAAGGAGTTAAGGGACGGGAATTGAGAACTGATTCGATTTGTGTTAAGAGAGTATAAAACTCTTCGAAATCGAAATGAGTATTTTTTGTTACTCGCTTTAAATGACCCTTTATGGACTTCACTCCAGCTTCCCATAATCCTCCAAAGTGAGGTGAAGTGGGTGGAGTGAAATGCCAACTGATTCCATTATCATTAGCAAAATCGATAATCTTACTTTGATTGTTTTTACTTTGAAGCATGTGTTTTAATTCAATCAGATCATTATGAGCACCTCTGAAATATGTTCCGTTATCAGAATAAATATTAGAGGGCCTTCCCCTCCTTGAAATAAAGCGCCTTAGCATAGATAAAAATGCGTCTGATGTTAGACTGGTTGTGAGGTCTAAATGTACCGCCTTTGTAGAAAAACAAACAAAAATGCATATGTACGCCTTTATGAGTTGGGCGCCGCGACCTTTTTTAGATTTTATAAAAATTGGACCTGCGTAATCGACGCCGCAATTAAAAAATGGTGGTGACGGGATAATTCTTTCTTTAGGAAGATTTCCCATGATATGTGCGATTGACTTTGGCTTCGCGCGGAAACAAGTTACGCAGTCGTGTGTAATTTTACGTGCCAGATTTCTTCCAGAGAGTGGCCAATATTTATCGCGAATGGACGAAAGTAATTGATTTGGTCCACAATGAAGCAACCGAATATGTTCGAAATTAAATATTAATTTTGTAAGAAAATGGGAGGAGTGTAAAATAATCGGATGCTTTTTATCAAACGAGTATTCAGCCCTTTCAATCCGACCTCCTACACGTAAAATACCATCAGTATCTAAGAATGGGTTCAATGAAAGTAAGGAGTTTTTTGTATCTAATCGTTTGCCTTGTTTTAGCTTATGTATTTCGCTTGCGTAATTAGCTCTCTGAGACATTTTTAATAACAATATGAGTGATTTTTTCATTTCATTTTGTGAAACCGGACCCATTAATCTTTGATTATATGGTAACTTTAAATTGTTAACGAAGCGAAGACAATATGCAACAACACGCTGTAATTTTACTAATGATGAAAATTTAGATAGACATTCTAAATTGCTCGTTTCTACGGAAAGAGTAGTGACTAACCTTTCTTCTAAATTTGTATTTTTGAAATTACTACAGGGTGTTGGCCATCGCTCTTCAACCTCTGATAACCAATGAGGTCCGTGCCACCATAATAGGGTGTCGTTTAATGAAGACGCTTCTATTCCGCGTGAAACTAAATCCGCGGGATTTTCATCTGTCCTAATATGCCTCCAATTGTGAATGTGAGTTAAAGTTTGAATTTCTGAAACTCGGTTGCAAACAAAGGTCTTCCATTTACTTGGGGCTGCGTTTATCCAACTTAACACGATTGTTGAATCGCACCAAAATATGCATTTATTAAATGACATTTTTAACGCTTGTACTGTTTTTTGGTATAATTGAGCTAACAATACTGCTCCACATAATTCTAGCCTCGGAAGTGTAATCGTTTTTAATGGTGCTACACGCGACTTAGAGCATAATAACGAAACCTGATATTGTCCAGCATCGTTCATGCTTCTTGCATAAATGCAGGCGCCGTATGCCTTTTCCGAGGCGTCGCAGAATCCATGTAACTCCACTAATTTAGCATTTTTACATATAATATGTCTAGGAATAGCTAGTGTTTTTAATGAAAATAATTTATTTCGACATTCTATCCATTCGCTATGCAATTCGAACGGTAAAGATTCGTCCCACGATACTTTACATTGCCACAATTTCTGCATCAGTAATTTAGACTTTATAATTATAGGGGCTAATAAACCTAACGGGTCATAAATCTGACATATCGTGGATAATATTGTCCTTTTAGTTATTTGACTGTGTGTTGTAAGATTGCATAGTGAATATTGAAAATTATCTGTTTGAGAATTCCAAACTATCCCTAACGTTTTGGATTCTTGTTCTTTAGAAAAGTTAATTATATTTTGATCTAAATTATTGTCTATGTTAAGTTTATTCAATACAATTGCATCATTGGATGCCCATTTGCGTAATTGAAATTTAGCTGAACCTAAAATGTTTACTATTTGTTCTTGAATCGAAACTGCTTCTTCACGGGAGTCGAAACCTGTTAGCAGATCGTCTACGTAGAAATCATTTTCGATAATATCGGCAGCATTAGAATGACTTTCGCGATGATCATTCGCAAGTTGACTTAAACACCTAATTGCAAGAAAAGGCGCTGATGCCATTCCATANATCAAAAACTCGCAGTTACAAACCGTTTGATAGGGGAAGGTGGTCTGAGATGGCATAGATTTCGAAAAAATGAATTTTTAGGAATCTTGTAACTTAATTGAAATAAATAGCCCATCTATGTAAAATAAACGTTTATTATCTTCTTAGAATAATTGAACAAAATGAACACAAATTACTATTTCTTTGGAAAACAATCATTTTTAAAAAAGTCTTGAAAATCCATCTCACCCAACCCCTATGGGTAAGATGGCATACAATTAACAGTACTCATCCAAATCACCGTTTTACTTGCAAATATCACAAATGACAGGTTTTGACGTTTTTGGTAATCCAATGCACTCTGCGTGGCACCATCGACGACAGATTTGACATCGAAGCCAGCATTCTTTGGGTCGGGAATGGCTCCAAGGCTCCATGCAATAAATGCAGGATGGATCTTCATCGTCCGAGGCGAATGGTTCTTCCTCGTCACCTGATTCTGCCAACACGATTCTTTTTTTAGTTTTACGAGCAGACTTTCTTGAAGCTTCTGCGTTTTTTTCAGCTACAATAGCTTTTAGTTGTGTTATACCTGGAGATGAATTCAGTATTCCGAATTTGCCTTTCTTACGGTTCACAAATCTTTTCGTTTGCGAACATTTGGGCAATGGAGATATATCTGCAATCGTTAAAGTTGCTTCAGTTCGATTGTTAGATTGGGAGCTCTTTGGATCTGAAGGTTCTCCATCGGTCTGGACATTTGTCTGCGAGCTCACTGGTACTGAAGGCCCTGCATCAGTCTGTTCATTTGTCTGAGAGCCCTCAGGCGCTGAAGGCCTTGCTTCGGTTTGGTTATTTGTCTGAGAGCTCTGAGGCGCTGAAGGCCTTGCTTCGGCTTGGTCTCTTGTATGAGAACTCTCCGGCGTTGAAGGCCCTGCTTCATTTGGGTCACTTGTCTGAGAACTTTTCGACGGTGCAGGCCCTGGTTCGTTTGGATCATTTGTCTCAAAGCTTACAGGTACTGAAAGCCCAGCCTCGTTTTCATCGTTTATCTGAGAGCTCACAGGTGCAGAAGGTTCTGCCTCAGCTTCGGCTTGAGACTGGGAGGTCTGGTCAGTGACGTCTGAAGGTGCAAACATCCACTCAGGGAAAATATTCTCATTTAATGGAAAAATACCACATGCAGCGAATCCAGATTGCCCATGGCTGACTGTAGCAGCTCGAAGATAAGCTTGTTGGAAAAGCTCAGCCACCTGGAAATGAGTAACAGTTCTTCCGGGATGGTTCCTCAACCAAATATTCAGCTCTTGATTATAGAAAGTGTTAAGAGGTCCAAAGAA